AGAGTTGAATTATTCTAGTTAAATAAGGTAATAATATTAATAATAATAATAATAATAATAATAATAATAATAATAAGAAGAAGAAGAAGAAGAAGAAGAAGAAGAAGAAGAAGAATAGTGGGACAGAAACAGATTAAATGCAACGTGAGGGTAAAACACAGGACCAGAGGAAAATTATGGCAAATAATTTGTGTTTTAACAATCAAATTCACACTGTACAGTTCACACAAAAGTTGTATAAAAATTGGCGAAAGTCTGGTGTTTTGCAAACTTCCTGATGACGATATTCCGGTTTGGGGTTTTTGTAAACACAACAAGCCAACACACACACACACACACGTACACGTTCATTACCTCGCTGACACGGTTAAAATAGATGTCACCAATTGTGTTATCAGCCACAGTGTAACTCAGACTTTGGACTTTGGAGAGAAGCAGCTCCTCCTGTCTACTTTCCGTCGACCTCTTCACGGAATGACCACAAACTACCAGCTAGCTAGCGATAGCTGAGCTACAGTCAAACCAAAGCGTTGAGCTGCTCGGGGTTAGCTCCAGCTGACGCTCGCTGCGGTGTTTGTCACTTCCAGAGAGAAGAGGACACTCTCATGGTGGTCTCAGTTCAATGGGGAACTGTCTGTTTTCACAAGGTGCGGATGACCTGTCGCTGCTGAACGAGTCCGAGGGGGGCAGCCTTCCCGGGGAGCCTCCTCCGCCCTACCAGGTCAGCTCCTGGGTCTCGACTTTAATGTGAAAGCATGTCACCACAGTCAGTAGTTTCAACAGGCCATTACTATACAGTCTATTAAACCGGGAGTGTACCTGTCATACTGCTCTCAGTATGGATGTACCAGTCGCAGAAATGTCCAATAATTAAATAACTCAAGCCCCAGACAAGGCTGCTCATTCATGTTGGTACTTGTTAAGAATTTAACTTTAATTTGGACTTTTGTTTGTTGTTTCAATCAGAAACTCCATATTAATAATGTGACATACAGCTCTAAACGTTGGAGGGGGTTAAGATTAAATATTATTGGTAAACTACATTCAGCAAATTGGATCTAACTCTAATTATAATGCAGAAATCATACAAGCTATATCCTGAAATATTATTGCACAAAATCCCAGACAATACTGAACAAGACCTAAACAGCAGTGTTTTTTTTTTTATCATGCATCACAACTTGTAAGACATTGTCCTGGTGTTGCACCGGAGCATTGGATGGTATCATGTCCTCCAAATGGCTTTCCAAAACGACATGATACGTTAGACAAATATCAACATTAGTATCAGCTTCAGGCTGTAAGTCAAAGGCAACACACCTGAAACATGTCTTGAATCCCCACCCTCATAGATGACGCAGGCGGGTTGTCTTCTGTTCCTTCTTTTCCAGGAGCGCACCCAGTCAGCGCCAGTGTACCATCCCACCCCAGGTGAGAGCCGCCTGGCTTGCCAGCTGACCGAGGAGGAGCAGGTCCGCATTGCCCAGCGAATCGGTCTGATCCAGCACCTGCCCAGAGGCATGTTCGACCCGGGCTCCGACCCCTCTGACAGGAAAGTTAAAGAGTAAGTCTAAAATAGGCAAATCTAGCAAATTTAGTAGCATATTAAAAGGTCCAGTGTGTAACAGTTAGGAGGATCTGTTGTTAGAAATGGAATATTATTATCATAGGTATGTTTTCATTAGTGTATAATCACCTGAAAATAAGTGTTTTTATTCACTTATAAGGAGCTGTTTTTATCTACAAGGGGAGCGAGTCCTCTTCTACGGAGTCCGCCATGTTGAACCGCCGTATTTGTACAGTAGCCCAGAACAGACAAACCAAACACTGGCTCTAGATTGGGCCTTTCACTTTTTTTTTAAGTTTCTCATAATCTGATGCCAGTAAATCCGACACACTGGTCCTTTGAATACAATTGTAGTTTGAGCCTTTGGATAAAAAGGTTGGGGTGTCATATGTAAATTATTTAACAACACTTCACAAATCTGTGAAAGGAATTACCTGCAACCTGAGCTAATTTCACAAACATTATCTTCACACTTAAAGATTGAGGAACCTTTGTCTCCCCTCCAGGTGTGTGATCTGCATGGTGGATTTTGAATACAGCGATCCCATTCGGTTCTTGCCCTGCCTTCACATCTACCACGTGGATTGCATTGACCCCTGGCTGATGCGCTCCTTCACCTGCCCCTCCTGCATGGAGCCGGTGGATGCGGCGCTGCTGTCCTCTTACGAAACCAACTGAGCAGCCCCGCGATGGCTGCTCCTGCCTAAAGAAAAAAGTAACTGCACCTTTTTAGTCGAAACTGTCCTAGCTGTTGAAACAGGTAGCCAAGGTGATGTGGCATTATGCAGATGTGGGTTGTTCTAGGGTGCAGACAGATGTTGAAAACTGTACTCTACAGTACGTTGCTTAGGTCTGATATGCACCTATTTGGGCTTTGGAAACTTTTTGCCTTTTACAGTAGCATAATGTGCCAAATCAAGCTAGATGAAGACTATGGTAAGCTGTACACGTAGCAAAATATTACTGCAAAGTAATTTCACTTTTGTGTGACTGATTTTTTTGGTAATTAGATGCATGTCACCAATGTAATTTACTTCCCCGTCCCCCCAGATGTAATGTGCAATATGTTATATCGATGGAGAAAATGCAGGACATTTGTCTTGGTCAAGTGAGCATCATTGTTTGTCAAAAAATCCGGTGAAAATATGAAGTGAACTTAACTTACTGTGTTTTTCTCATGAACCCATGGCCTTGAATGTCACAAAAACACAGGCCTTCCTACCGATATGCAATCATCAAACACACAGGAAAAAGGTTTTTCTGAACAAAGAGAAGTTATGAGTTCCCACGACCGTTCATGTCTTCAGCGCTATGTGGTAAAATGTCAGTTTATGTTTTGTTATCAGATAAAATGTCAGTTTTTGAAGAAATCTGAAGATCAAATCTATTTTGTTTTGACTTGGGTCTCTTTGTATGTATTGTCGTTTCTTTTGAAGCTGCTTTTGTGAATGTGGATCTTTTTTTTGTTTGTTTGTTTTTTTGCCTTTCCACATTATGGATCTCCTTCTTTACTTTGCCTGGAGCTCTCAGTTTTGTGTTGTCCTCTTCTGTGTGTCCTTTTCATTGTTTACCGTCAGTGACATTTACAAAGATATGCTGTGCAATCCCCTCCCTCAAAGCACCTTGGGATACCCCTCATCTAGCACTCTGTAGCTTGTACATTTAATAGATGATTGTGAGTTTTGATAAGTGTGTATGTGTGTGATGTTTTTGTTTGTTTGTTTTGAGGGGATGGTGGGTAGAGATTGGCATGTTGAAGTAACTTTGTGAATTAACCCTGTCAGTTGTGAACGTTGTTGTAGCTCCTCTCTTGGAGCTGTTGGGGTTTTGTTTCGTGTTGATGGCCTTCTTACAACAAGTGATGAATTTCCAGAGCTCCTGGGTCTGGTCAAACAAAACGCTTTTACGTTTTGGTATCGGACGTGTACTATCTGTTACCGACTGCACAATGAACAAGCAGCAGTAGAAAGGAATGTATCTTGAATGTAAAGAATTGTTTCAGCTTTTAAAGATATGAACATTGTAGGTGAGAATAAGAGGACATTTCTGATTTACTCAGGCTTCTGTGCCTTTTAAGTTTGAGGTAAGCCAATTCCTGTGAAGTACAATCATTTCTGACGTGACTTTCGATTTTCTTTTAGTTGTCCTCTAGGGGGAGACAGATACCAGCACTGAACTGAGTTGAGTCACTATGAAATAGGCCGAGGCTGGAGCCAGAAATTTGCTCTGGCTGCTGTAAACAGTCATTTTGTGTTTTAATTTATAATTTGTGCCACCAGTGCACAGGTTTTAGGAAAGTCATGAAACCACAATAAAAATTTTACACAAGTATGATGTGTTGTCTTTTTATTAAGGCTAAATCACAATTCCTCGTTTTCTTGTATCGGTCAATTACACAACAGCTGGAACACCGTTCAGTGACTCCAGCTGCTTCCTAACAACTTATTTATGACAACTAACTGTACAGTGGGAAATGTGCAAAATGGACGGGGATTATTTGTATATAGAGCAGTCCTGTATATTTTGTAGTAGTTGAGTTCCCTTTTCAGTAATGGCAGAGGTCAGTTTCATAAAGTACTAACCTGATGACTAGAAGGCGATTGTGTATATTAATTGTGCAATTGTATGAACTAGGAATCTTTCCCAATGTTTTACCAGGAACTATTGTAAGACCGGGCCAGATGAACGGCAGGCACATGATCCAATGTCAGGATGCCAGTGTCAACTACCTGGACCCTGAACATCAGCAGTGACATACCCATTACAAGAAAATGGCATACATGAGGAGTGCCGACTAAAGCACAAATACTTCATAAACTTGCAAGAGAAAGAATACTTTCTTTCAACAAAACGTTTTATTAAAAGGTAATATTTACAATATTAACAGCACACATATTGCACATTTTAATGCCCACTGGATGACAGTCTTAGAACATTGTGATATTCAAAAATCAATACACTCAGCTTTCGTGAATATATATTAGAAATGTGGTTCTCAGTTAAATTACAAATATTTTACATATTTTGTCATTTACAAACTGTTAAAAGCCTTTTAATAGTCTTACAGTACAAAAGACCTTTAAACCTTAACAGCAAAAACAGTATTTCTTGCTGTGTGTCTTCTCTAAAAAGCATAGATTCCCATGCTAACTGTGGCAAGAGCCACAAAAAGTCCTAGGACCATCCGAAGCAGAGGGGTAGTTTTGATCATGTTTCCGGGGATCTGGGGCATCTTCACTGGTTTGGAGTTAGTTGAACAATTCTGTATTTCAGTGACATTCAGCATCTTCTGTAAATCATCAAATACCTGTAAAACAAAGACAAGAGTGTCCATCAGCTGCTTGGATTCATTAACAGCTGCAAGAGAAAAGGTGTAAGCTCAGCTATGTCAAAGTGACATTTCTGTTCTAAGCTTTCTCTCTCTGCCCAGCCATCATCGCTCCGTACCTGAATGTTAAACTCAAAGGCTCTGACAGCCTCCTCCAGCACGCCGTTCCTCTCCTCCTCCGTCAGCTCCACGCTGTTCATCCGGCTGCGATACAGCTGTTTGAACAGGTTGGGGCTGGACACACCAGGGAAGGCAAAGAATGACAGACCCTCGCTGCTCTTCAGCCCCATGGACTTCTGGGCGATTCGACCCAGGACTTGCCCTCCAGACAGGTCACCCAGGTACCGAGTGTAAGCATGGGCAACTAGAAATTCAGGGTTTTCTGCACCAATCTATGAAAAAACATAGAAGAGTGTTATTTCAGGATCAAACAGCAGAGAAACAGAGAAATATAACTCAACATATAACGAAACATACTTGTCTCAGTCTGTGGCAGTATCTTTTAGTGGCTGCAGGGACAACAATCTTCTCTCTCCAGTCCTGGCCATAGAAGTATTCCAGGTCTTTCTCAATGGCCTCCAGCCTGGCCAGTTCAGCCGGGAAGTAAATGGGTGCAACGCCAGGGTGGTTGGAGTTCCTGTCCAGCTCTTCCTCCAAAACCTGGTAGATCTCATACAGCGAGGACAGGAGGAGCTGAAGAAGAGGAGGAGAGGTGTTGTCAGACAAAAAGGTATTAAAAAAAAACAGTGAGATTATCTGATAAAAATAGATTTTAAATATATTTGTCTGTACCTTGTACTGTTGCAGGGTGACTTGTCCCCTCTGGAAGCTCAGCATCAGCTCTGTGTTTTCTGCCCTGACGTGACTTCCTTTGCCACCTTTTTGATTTGTTCTGACAGATCCGCTGCAAAAAGAAAATAATCCGATATAGTATAAAACAGGTACTTTCTCATAAAGAAAAAAGTACAGAAGATACATTGTGTGAGTACACTGTGAATTTCATGAACCTTAGATTAGGTTTAGACAACATGCAGCTGATAAAACTTTGCAAGCACAGACGTTAAATCAGCACACTGCACTAGAAATCTACTTTTGCATGCTTCAGCATTAATGCAGTTATAATCATCCAAACTTGTGTTTTCTAAGATACTTTTCGGAGCATTTCATGGATGAATATTGCAATGTACAAGATGAATGAGTTAGGAAGAAAGGATTTAGAGATGGCATAAATCAGTTGCTCATTCTTACCTGTCAGTAATCTGCTCCGCTGTTGTCTGAGTCTTCTTTTCTGTCTCCATTGTTTCCCTGAAAAAAAGTTTAAAAAATGTCAGAAAAGTGCTTTTGCAGGACATAAACGATTTTCCAGCATGATCACTAACATTGCATAAGGATCCAAGAGGTATAAGATGCCAGAAACGGGTTGTGAAATTCAAAGTATGACAAAAAAAAACAATGGAAATATTGTGTTTCACTCACCAGTTAGGATGAAGTTCTGTAGGTTTGGTGGTTTGGTCTATATTCAGAAAGATTCACTGTTTTTCCTCTGGATGTCCTGTACAGTTTGTGCTCTGTGTGCTTTTGCTCTTCTGTCCCTTTTATACAATCCTTTCTCTGTCTCCTCCCTCCAGCAGCTGAATGAAAACAGGAACTAGTCTGCGTCACAAAACCACAGCTAAACATGATATGGCAACTTGAGCAAAAAGTAGTAGGAGGGACTGAGAGTTAAACATGATACAGCAACTATGAGAGCCACTTGGAAAAGTTCTGAGGGAGGGACTATAGGACTTAGCATGAGTAAGGAAGTTTTAGTACTTCCCTGGAAAACAAGAAGGAGGAGGGCTGAGTGCTAAACATGACAGTGCAGTTAAGGAATTCCAAAGTTGAGCCAGGCGAGAGGAGGAGCTGACTCTAAACATGACTGTGTGAGTTTCTGAAGCCGGAGAGGGAGGAAGTGTTGAAACAGTGACTAATGGTACAGAAGAAACAATCACATGATTGTGTCACCACAGTGCACCAGCAGGTAATCAGAAACATGAACAAGTTCAACCATGTTACTAGATAACTGATAAGTCCATGGTGGTTCACATGGAAAAGGGGGGTTTCAGTTGAACCAGAGCCAATAAAGCTGAGAATGTAAAGCAGATACAGGCACTGGAGGCTGCTACAATTAAATTAAAATATATGCTGAAACATGCTGCTTCAAATGATTTTATCCATAGTTCTTTTAAAATGATCATAAAGCCTGAGCTAAAAAAAATCTTTTTGTTATTGATAAAAATTTAAGCCAACAACTTTCTTACTTACTTAAATTTAAAAACAAATCTGTGCAATCTGTCTGTCCTTTTTAAAAAATACATCAACAAGGTGAGATTCTATTTTTTTAATGGCTATAAAGTTGCACCATATTTGTCCAGTTGGATGCTTACACCCACAAGTGACTGTGACATGATGTATTTGTAATTGTTTAAGTAATACAAAGTACTGCTCTAATACTGCTGAAAGGACACTACATGGCCAAAAGTATATGGACACCTGAACATCACAACACAACATGTGATTGATTGAACATCTCATCCTAAAGACATGGGCATTCATTTTGCTGCTTTCATTCTTATGGGGAAGCATTCTGTACATTTTTTTAATCTGGCTGCAGGGATTTGCTCCCAGAGAGCCACCACCACCATAGAGGTCTGGCAGTGATGTTGGGCGATGAGGATCACAGTTGACGCTCACCCTAAAGATGCTGGATGGAGTGAATTTAAGATCAGCTCTGTGTAGGCCAGTCAAGTTTATTCACACCAAACTCAAACCGGTTATTTATGGATCTCACAGATTGTGAAGCCCATTGAAGCGTTGAAGCGTGACATAACTGGATGCTATAGCATTAACATTTAAGAAACAGCCCAACTGTATATAGAGTGTCTACATACCATAATTAATCCCTTTAAGTAAAGGCCCACATGAAAACAAACATTTTAAAATACAGATTATTTTCTGTATTAACCTAACTGATAAAGTAGGCTAATGTTAAAAAAAATGTCTACTCAAGTCTCACTGTAGTAAAAATAGTTAAACATTTTCAGCATAAACTACAAAATCAGGAGGATCATTTTATGTGATAAATGTTTGACAGAACTAATCTGGTCAGGCATCTGCAGAAAGACACAACAGCTGGACATAAATCCTGTGCTCTCACTCCCTCCTGCCTATCATGACTCAGCAGACAGACACGGAGGGAGGGAGACAAGGGGAGCGCTAAACGTGAGTCAGCAGCTTCTTTCCTTCACACGGTTCAGACCCGTGACCGACATTGAGAGTGAGTTCACCTGAAGCTATTTGTGAAAAACATGGTCTGAACATAAGGTTTTCTTTGAAGTTGTTAGCTCGTTGTTCAGGCGACCAAACCGGTTATGTGCTACTACACAAGTTTTGTTAAATTAACGTAAGTTTTTAAAACGAGCTTCAGGCAGAACGTCGACGGCAGACTTTGAACTTGTAACATGGCGACAAAGTAATTAATTAACTGTTACATCATGTCCTCAACACTGCCTTATCCGTTTGTTTTCATTTGGTTTTAGATTAAAAAAACGGACTCAACTGTAGGAAATCCTCACATTTAGAGTCTTTAAGCAACATTAAAGCCCGACTCTTATGTAGTTAGCTACTTCCTCTCAGCCCTGCAGCTCACTTGAAAATAAAGGTTTTTTAAATGTGCCAGTGCCCTACTTCTAGTAAACTTGCCCGTTTTGATTTAACAGAATACATTTAGTAAACCCTCCTTTTTTAATTCAATTCAAAAGGGCTTTATTGGCATGAGAAACAGGCGTTTACATTGCCAGAGCATATGTTACATATATGTATATACAGATTAGTTTGCGTTTGTGTGTCACTCACTGTCCCTCAGGTTGAGATATGTCCTGTCTCCTTCTAGGATTATTGTTAATTTTGAGTGGTCATTTAGATCGCAGAAATTTGGGATTACAGAGTTTAAATTCTTTAAATAAATGTTCCTTATATTATTGAATGTTTTACATTGTAGCTGGAAGTCTCGGTCTCAACCTCACCTGTCGGACAATCACCATATATTCAGTTGTTTGCCATGAAAAGAAGTACATTTTATAAGTGAAGTAAAGTACATTTATAGTGAAACCTCCTTTGCATTTGTGTTGCTTTACTTTACTCATACTTCATGTCCCTGCTGCTGAATCACTTGTCCCTCTCATCCCTGGCTGTGTAGATGGATGGTGAAGCAGTGAGTGGACTCAGCCCGATAGAGAAGGAAAGGCCCTTCATGATGGATGTGGAGGAGCTGGGGGAACCGATGGTGGAAGGGAGCTGTGAAACCCAGATGGGAGGAGCGGGGAACCAGTATGTGAGGCGGTTGAACCAGATGTGGAGGAGCTGGGGGAACCAGATGTGGAGTTGGAGGACTGTAGCACCAAGAGGCTTTATAAGGTGGACCCTGAGCCTGCTCTGCAAAAAAAGCACGACTTTTTTCTTTTTCAAATGATCTTTCATCTGCAGCAGAGTATTAACAGTCCTGATAAGGGACGTGACAGATCCTGATGTAGTTGCTTGGCATATGTTATTGATACACTGGCATCAGTATTGTACTATGTTCTGTTGCAATGTCAGAGGTGTACCATTGAACTCTGAACCTTTCTACTGTGTCAGCCTTTTGCTAGTTTATAGCTGTGTGTAAATGAATGGGCTCAGTCTATGCAGTTTGGTACACACTGATCCATTTCTCTATGAAACTGTGATACAGACAGCTTTTGTAATGCAGTATATCAATACAGCATATGATTGATTGAATATTGATCCCTAAAATTAGGTGCATGTCTTCCTATTAGGTTAAACGGTTATCATTACTGTCTCACACATTGTTATTTTTGGATGTTGTTCAGTTATTTTTCATTCATTTTCATTTTATTATTCACCCGTTTTCTTTCAGGAAACAAAGTTGTTGCTCAACAAGAAAATGTGGTATTCTGGTAAGGTGCTTTTAATTGGTCTGTGTGTTAGCTGTGCATCAGCTGTGTATACAGCTGTAAGGGTTTTTATATTGTAACTCTATCATGGTTCTAATCCCGTATGTCTCAGTGGTAAATGGTGAGCAAATCCACCATGACAAGTCATAGATCTAGAGATGTGGGTCGAGAACCAGTTTAAATTGTCCACACGATGGGAATTGTGTGCCTCCTTTAATTAATAATTACTTTTATTGATGCTGACATGTTTTTCTGACAGTTTTGCATTGCAAAACTATGACATCGCACTCATGGCCTACTCAGCTGGAAAGGTGCAACAAGCAATATGTACATACATATTGCAGTGCAACATGGACTTTCAGGAATACCATGTTTTTGACACTCATATCCTATGTTACAATAACATTAGCGCCATGCAGGCAAGCTTAGCAGTGTTCTCTTTGACCAAGAAAACCTAAACGAAAACAAATACTGTACAAATATTAGGGAAGGAGGCTGAGAACCGGTTCAAAATTAAACAGCAGTTAAACAGTGGAACATTTTGACATCTGAGAATTCAGTTTAGTTAATAAGATGGAGAGATGGTTAACGGGATAATTACCTATTGTTTAATATGAATGACATTTTGCAGGTAATAGTGGAGCTGAGCATGAACTATGTGAAGCGGAATCCTCCGGCTTCCTCCCTGCTTATCCAGTCTGTGTGCCACAAGAGAGATGGGGAATAAAAGGAGGAGAATATGAGAGAGAACAGGTGACAAACAACATTGGATTAATTTAAATTTGACTCAGTCGTGTTAAGTTTGTCTGGGTCCTAATATCATAAGATAAATAATACTAAATAAATAATGACAACACAAACTCTCTTTCATCCCTTCAATTCTTATGACTAATATGTAAACTTTCTCCTCCAGGACATCCAAAACAAGTTGTTGCGTTCATGTTGCACAGCAGAGGGCAGCATTGATTTGGTAATTATCCTGTAAGTTTTTCAAGCATTATGTCTACTTCCACTTGCTACTCTTCATCTTTTCCCTACCTGTCTGTTTCTCCCAGGTGAGTCCAAGCTCCATGTTGGAGCACTGGGTGTATCTAGATAACCAGCACAACACAGCAGACGGTCCTGTTACCACAACCATCACCCCTCCTGCCACTCCAGTAACCCACATGCCTTATCCATTTATCCCTGTTCCTAGTTCAGTGACAGCTTCTGCTATGAGTGCTGTTGTTGATCCCATGATATATAGCCCCATGACTCACACCTGCAGTCCCATTAGTTCTATGTGCAGTCCCACTGATTCAGCCTGGGACACTCTCAGATCCACATACAGGAGTCCTAGCTGCTGTGACCTGGATCCTGTCAGTGCTGCAGCTCACCTACATCTGTTGGGGGAATCCTTGTCCCTGATTGGAAGCCATCTTCAGGAGACAAATGTGAGTAGATTCAGTGTAGAAAATGCATAATTTTCTCAAATCCAGGGTTTTACTTGAAATGAATACTGGTCTGTAATGGCTGTTTCTTCATTAATGGATATTTCATGATTTGAACCCTAATTAAGTGTTGCTTCATGAACCCATACCTTCTTCTTTTTCTGTTGACCGCACAGTGGTCGAGCAAATTATTGCAGCTGTGAGAGTAATACAGTAATAGAGATTACTGAAAACAGCTCACTTTACCAGTAATTCATGATTAACCAGACTAAATTACCACTAGACAGGCCCTATATTTTGGGGTACAAAGATATGGTATGAGTGTGATTTGGTTGAAATAACAACAATAATGTACTATGGCACAATATTTTGCGATGATATTTTGTGTGATACTAGAGTTGCAAAATATATTCAAAGCTGTTTTACAAGATTTCTGCACTACTTCACACAAAGGAAGAAAGAAAGTCAAAGGACATACAATATAAACAAAAGCCATGTGACAAAATAAAATAACATACATTTATAGTGTGAACTGTTTCAGATTACCTTTTTATATTGAATTTTGTGGCTCAGGTTTTTATAATTTGATGAATTTAGGAGAATGTCTTACATGCAGTTAAACAAATATATGCAAAACCCAAAGAAAGTGTTAAACCTTTTTTCACATGTATGCTTTGGGTGAAAAGTGAGCTAACCACAGACGTGAATTGTTTTTTATTAAAATTAATATCTTGTATAATACTAGAGTCACAAAATATATTCAAAGTTGTTTTACACGTTCTTCACACTACTTCACACAAAAGGAGACAGAAAGTCAAAGGACATCTTAAAAGCTGTGAAATATTGCAATCCTACAACTCAAAACACTTGACTGGTTTGTTGGCTCCAGTTTTGTCATAGACATGTGTCTCTACATGACTACATTTGACCACAGGATCAAGAAGGGCAAGTTTCATATAATTGCATTTCTTTGTGTCTCTGCAGAAAGTGGTGAATCTGTCGAGTAGCTCGTCTCTGCTCTTGGACTCTCTGCTCTGTGCCCTGGCTCCTCTAATCTGCCTCACTGAAGTGATACCAGAGCTGAGGAGCTGCACACAACACACACTGGTGAGAGGTGCATTCACACGGCATACTTTACTCTGTTTATACGCACAGGCATGCACATGAGTGAACTGATTGTTCTGCCAGTATGTTATGTGTTAAGGAGGAAATCATTGTTTTTATCTTATTTTTTTAAGGCCTCCACTCTGGAGAACATTGCCTATGTGATGCCCGGGTTGTAACTGATGACGAAGACCCCTCTAGCAGTACACAGCGCATTCTGATATGCTGAAAGACACTATAGGTTAGTTTACACTTGGAAAATACGAATAATATTTATTTTATTCTGGAAGAATATTTGTTTGAACTATAACTTTATTTTTGCTTATTTAAGTTTATTTTAATATGTCAATTGTTTTTGGTTGTTTAGTTAGAAGATATGAATGAAGATTGAATAATGTATTTTTCTTTACCGACCAGACACCTTCAGTCTGTGTCACTGGACACATTAAAAGTTTCAATTAAAATCTTTTTCTATGTCACAGTGGTGTTGATCAGGAATCACATACAGTAGATTTACTACGGTACGGTACTGTTACATGTTCTTGTACTTATATTTAAAAATAAAATAAAAATGCATATTTGCATAGTTCATTTGAAGGAATAGCTGTATCTCTGTGCCACTGATGATCAGTTTGACTCCATATGAGTAGGAGTCACAGAGGAGAGTCACTATTTCATTTCTACAGAAACTCATTGTGTGAAGTGCATAGTTGTCAGCTTGATGACATCATCCAATAAGCTCATGTATGAGTTAATATTTTCAAAAGTTGCTCAACGTTTATGGAATAACGGCATCTAAACCTGCAATATTGCAACACACAACCAATTAAATAAATTTCACTTTTATAAATTTCATTAAAAAACACTTTCACATTCCTTATTAAATGTTATTGTTTTATATTGAGGTCTATTGGCTGTCTATAATTGCTCTAAAAACAATAAATTCAACACCTCTCATTCTTTCATAGATAAATCAAACCGGCTCTTGAAGCTTGACATTTCCAGGGTGTCACTATGTGGGATGAAACTGCAAGGTACTATTTTTATGAATACTGTTCCGTATAACACGACACAAGCAGAGCGACATTCCTCTTTTGATTTACTTTACATTGTCTGTGACATGTCCTCAGCGCTGATTATGGACGACAACTGCAGCACATCAAAATATATACAGGCATATTTAACTTATAAGTTATTAAACTTAACGACTAAACCCTGAAGCTCACGTTATTTGACAGTCATCCATGAGTTTTGACACTTCATGGGTGTGGTCAATAAAACCAACGTAGAATGATTCATATGTGCTGCGGGATACTCCTCCTCCGCCCCATCATGGAATGCTTTGCAGCCTGCAGACAAAGAAACCTGTTGTGCATGCAAAAATCTATTAACAAGTGTGTTCATGTGTGCATGTGCAAAATTGGGAGTGGTGAGACAGGCAGGTTGCTCCTTCAGACTGTCAACCTCACCTGCCCTGGCAGCTTTTAGTAGTCGACATGTACTGAAGCTGTCTGGATGAGAGACATAATTCAGTGTCAAAGAAGACAGTACATGAACACAACTTCAGAGACGATAAACAGCTGAGTAAGTATGTTTCTTATTGTTTGAATCATACAGCTGCTTACTAAATGAAGTACTAGTTATCTGAATATTAAGATTGGAGAGTAACTGAGGCACTGTAAACTGTAAATTATTAGTGATGATATAAAGTTTCTTGGCCATATTACTGTTGGGTGCCAGGATTTTATCCGTATGTGTAATGTGCACCATAATGTTTTTTTACCAGCTGTGAGTAGATCTGAGAAAAGAGTCGTCAGTGTTACCTGAGCTTTGATTGGGCAAAACAACTGATGTCTGTGGTCTGATTATACTTGTTTGCATTTCACCTTAGTGCTAAATGTGTGCAGTCGTTATGAAATATCAGTTGTCTGTTGTGTGTTGTCATTGTGAACTTTTAATGCCGTATGTTCTGCCTTTTTTTTTTTTTTTTTAAATTGTAGTTGGATGTGTTTTGTTCATGTTTGCGTATCAGTCAAATATAAAAAAGTCCAGGTAGAATGTAGTTTGACAGGACTGGCAAGGTGTGGTGTACCAGGAAAGGGATGCAGTTACAAAAGGTGTGAAATGAAAACGACAAGTTAGAGCACAGCCATTATCAATGATCTTTGATCTCAGGTAAGAGGAAGCAGTGAGCATGGAATTAAGCAGACATCAAAAGTTATCACAACTTTCATGTTTATCATTAGATGGACTTACTCCACATATCAGATGTCAGATCAGATTATTAAACTCCTCCCCAACATGTCCAATCCTCAGTTTTTCCAGTTTTATTTGCATGTGGTTTCATCTTCTAAAAGTCTATAGACAAACCTTTGGTTGGTGTGTTACACTTTGGTTGGTGTAGCTTCTAGTCATTTTTGGTACTGACTTACATCCAGACATCACATTTGACCCGTTCCTCTTCCTTTCTTTCAAGTTATGAGTGAACACTTGAGAGGGAGCTACTATGAGTCCTCCTCCCCAGAGCTCAGACTCGTTCTTTTGGGAAACATTGGATGTGGCAAGACGTCATCAGCAGACACTATCTTGGGCCAGCTGTCCCCCATCTCTCCCAGTGCCTCCAGGAGCAGCCAACTGCGACAGGGGACCTCCGATGGCAGGAGTGTGACCCTGGTGGAGGCGCCAAGATGGTACTGGAGCGGCGGCAAGATGGAAGACAGTGTCAAGAAGGAGACAGAGCGGGCAATGACGCTAGTAGCACCTGGCGCACATGCTGTTTTGCTGCTGGTGCCTGTTAGCCAGTTTACAGAGGTTGGTTAAAGTCCTTGTTTGTGCTTGCACATGTGTATTTGAGTCATTTCTTTGTTTCCTAATATATACAGTATCAGTCCATGTGTTTTCACTGTGCCTTTATAATACATAACTGTTGATAATAATGAATTTTTCTCTTTTTCTTTCCCTGGTGTTCCCAGATGGAGGGTTGTGTGCCTGCAGAACTGGAGGAGGTCTTTGGAAAGGAGGTCCTGGATCACACCCTGGTCCTGCTGACCTGTGGGGACTACTTGATGGGAAGAGAAGTAGAGGTATTACAGTTTTACACTCTAGGTCTCTGTGCTGAGATGTACATTTCAAGTCCTCTTCATTTTTTGTATTTTTTAAAGTCTTGTATACAGTTTGGTACCAAACACTCTTCAAACAAGTAGAGTACAAGAAGTACAATACTTAAGTCCCCACTTCTTTAACCAGTGATTTTGATGAGGATGTAATTCAAATTTAGCTTCTGTATTTTATTTTTAAACAAGTTGGCAAGTCATGTGACACACTGATACAGAAATAAAATAAAGACTTTGTAGGTTAGGTTTTGTAAACTACTTTCAAACACTGATACATCATTTTGTGTAAACTGCTTGCAGTATTTTCTCAACATTCACTGTTTCCAATTTGGAGAGGCAACCCTTTGCAAATTTTAAATTGTTTTCCCACAGGAATACCTGCAGAAAGAACACCCAGGCCTGAGGCAGATAATCGAGCTGTGTGGAGGAAGGTACCATGTAATCAATAATCGCCAAAGACAGGACAGGGAACAGGTCCACGAACTGCTGGAAAAGGTGAGAAGTCGTCTCAGAGAACAATTAACAGAAACTATTGGACAGAGCTTTTCTCACACATTCTGAAATGTGTGTTGCTAACAACTTCTCAGGTTTCTTACTGACTACGGTGTTTATATCACAATATAGTCAGTTTTGGTGTATACTTAAAAAAAACACAAAATTGGGGTAGTGTGAATGTCATGATTTTGTCAGACATTGTGTTTTATATACTGCATGTGTTGCACCTCTTTGTTTTAATTGTTTAGTCTAGGTTGCTGAGCATGCCTGTTGTAGTTTTTCCCAGCAACGCCCTGTTTCACACGAATTACACCCAGCCCTAGTCAGGACCAGTTTGAGTACTAATGACTGGGCTAATTACATTATAACTTTGACTGATGTGGGAATTGATTCTATGGAGATTAACTGCAGGAATTATAACATGTGACACTGTATTTGTAAATGTGTGTATGTAACAGGTGGACGATATAGTGAAGAAAAATGGGGTATACTATATGACAACAGCCCAGGAGAGAGAGCTGGAGAAGCGAGTGGAAGACAGAAAGCAAGAACTTATGGAAAGTTACAGAGCTCAAAAGGAAGAGAGAAGAGAGACGGCCGCTTCAACGCACATCACTAACACAGAAACACAGAGGAGTATTGATAGAGGAGAGGAGTACAGCGCCGCCTTGGAGAAGAGGAGAAGTGATGTGATTGAGGGAAGAGTGAATGTGAGCCAGGTGTCTAACGGGCTTCATTCAACTCCAGCTCCAGAGCGACAGTCTTTTACAGATGACAGGCAGGTGAAGAGGACGCCCAGTTTCAGACTAAATGCAGGTAAATGCTAATAGATATTTTGCACCTAATGTTCTCCTGCATCACAATGTAAAAAACAGAAGAAAAAGGAATGTGAGCAGAAAATGAACAGGACTCATGTTTACTGTTTTACCTTTAGATGGAGCTATACTCTCACAAATGTCTGAGGAAAAAACATCTCCAAAAGTAATCACTACTTGTAAGTCACAGTCACATATGAGGTTTAAAAATATTTGTCATGTTTCATTTTCCGTATTGAACTTCAAATATCACCTGATTCTTTTCAGTTCACCACAGAATCAACAGCTCTGGAGAGATATCCCCTGGTGCATCTCAGACCTCCACTCCTCATTCGCCTGTCTTCTCCTCTAACCCCTCCTCGCCGACCTTCACTTTCTCTCCCTCCTATGCTTCCTCACTCCCCCCATCCTCCTCGCCCTCCTCATCCTCTCCGGAGCTGCGTCTGGTGCTCCTCGGGCGATCTGGAGCGGGGAAGAGCGTAGCTGGAAACACCATACTGGGGCGGGAGGAGTTTAAGTCACGCCTGGAAAGCCTCACAGCGATCACTCAGGAGTGTGAGAAAAAGAAAACTCTGGTGGAAGGAAGACGGGTAAGTTATTAAGATCCCGCATGGTTTCATTTTCCTTTCACACATTCCACCTTGTGTCGTTGCCAAAACCACCAAATGTCTAATCTTTGACACACTCTTCATGTTTTGTGTCATGTAACAATACAATCTGGCTTATTTCCCATGAATCAACTCTTTATGCTGCATGTGTCTCCTCTCTCACCTGCAGGTGGCGGTAGTGGATACCCCAGACTGGTTCAATTCTGAGCAAACTCCAGATGAGGTACGAGCTCAGATCTCCTCCTGTGTGGCTTTGTCCAGTCCAGGTCCTCACGCCTTCCTGATGTGCGTCCCCTTAGACCAGCCTGCAAAGACAGAGCTGCAGGCTCTCAGGGCCCTCGAGTCAGTTTTTGGCCCAGAGGCGGTCCAAAGACACACTCTGGTCCTCTTTACTTATGCAGATCGACTGAGGGAGAGCGGGAAGGCTGGAAATGACAGCGTGGAGGCGTACATTGCTGGACAGCGGGGGGATTTGTTAAAGCTTGTAGAGAAATGCGGGGACAGGTTTCATGTGATGGAGAAGGGACGAGATTGGAGGGAGAGGAAGAATGTGGCGGAGCTCCTAGAGAAGGTGGAGCAGACAGTAAAGGAGGCTGGAGGGCAGTGCTATTCTTGTCCTGCTTTTCAAGAGGCAGAAAACAAAGTCAGGCAGAAACAAGTAGAGATAGTAAGGGAAAGAAAGGGAAAAAAACTAGAGGAAGAAAGACAAGGAGACGTTAGACAACTCAACACTGAAAGGCGGATGCTTTATTCCTACATGCAGCCTGTAGCTGAGGCAGAAGAGGAAGTGAGAGAGGAGGAGATTGAGAAAACAAGGGATGAGGCAGAGAGGAGTGTCAAAACCATGAATATCGATAGCCTTCCTCCTGTTACGCTTTCCACCATGTCCCCTTCACTTCTCCGCTCCATTAAGGAGAAAATGGAGTATAGTGCAAAGAATTTACCCAAGCTGTTGGCAGATAGCTCTGTGTGGGTCGGTGAGGGAGCAAAGAAGATGAAAAGTAGTCCAGTTTGGGGGACAATCGGCAGTGGAGCACAAAATGTCCAGAAGATGGTGGTTGATAGTTCGGTGTGGGGGAAGGTGGGAGCTAGTGCTGGACATGTGTCCAAACTAGTAGGAGATAGAGTTCCCAAGGTAGTAGTGGATGGTTCTACATGGGTGGGATCTGGAGCAACAGCAGCAGCGGCAAGTCCTGTGTGGGGAAAAGTCGGTTCAGGGGCCAAAATAATGGCAGGCAGTTCCAAACGTGTCGGAGCTGGGATAGGAGCTAGGGCAAAGAATTTGGCGCAGAGTCCTATGTGGGGAAAAGTAGGATCCGGGGCCAAAACTGGAGCTAAACTGGTGGCTGGCGGCTCACTGCGAGTTGGAGCTGGAATTGGTGCCGGTGCAAAGAAGGTGGCACAGAGTCCAATGTGGGGGAAGGTGGGCTCTGGCGCCAAAGCAGGAGTTAAAATGGTGGCTGACAGCTCAGTGTGGGAGAAAATTGGGACTACTGCGAAACAGGTGCCCAAGGTAGTCATAGGGGGCGCGTTGCTGGGTCTGGTGCTTGGCGTGTTTTTGGGGGGCGTCATTGGCGGAGCTGTCGGGGCAGCTGCTGGATCCGCGGTATCTGAGGTCGGCAGACGAAAATTCAGCAACAAAAACACGTTAGAAAAGACAGAAGAAGCTGCAAAAAATGTGGAGAGAACAGTGAACGACAGAATAGACTCCCTGGTGAAACAAGGAGAGAAAGTATTGAAAACTGAATGAATGGCTGAATGTATATAAAATGTATAACAACTGTAAAAACATTTATTTGTCTAGAATTAGTACAGTCACAATGTATAATTCAAGAGACGTGTTCTAAGAGCCTTTCTATGTTTCTCTCTTTTTATTCAAACAGAGTGAAAGGGTTAATTTCAAAATACTTTTGTATAAACAAACTGGATTAACTATTTTTTATTTTTTTTAAATGCTTTGAGATGATTCCCAACTTCAATATTATTCCATTATTTGCACTCTGGCAGTGAATGAGGACGGGTCTAACTCTTTAAAATAATGTTAATATGTTTGACAAAATGAACTAAATTTATATACTAAAATGTATTTGTTAGGGAAAGTATTTAGGTGCTGTTCTGTTTGCAAGACGTCAAATTCTGTAAGAAAATAATAATGTTACTTTTTTTTGTCAAATATTCAACCTATTTCCTGTCCACCTGTTGTTTTAAGCAGTGATTTCAAGTTGAATTTAAGCATAATTTCGTAAGCAAGCATTTAGCATGTTAGCACTTATCTCCTGCTAATACTGTAATCTTCCTCAGCACCTAATTAAAAAAACATTCACAGAACTATTGCATCTTTGTCTGTTGTCTTAATTTAACACAGGACATAATGTATGATAAACCTTAAACACACACATACTCTGTGATGGAAAGTTTTTTCATGTCCTCTTAAATATTTTTTCACTATTTCACCGTTCTACACTGACTTTGTTTCTGCGTTCATTAAACCTCACAACTTGCTAAATCTCTGCAATAAAAAGCTGCAAGCTAAGCTAAAGGTTCTGCGTGTGACTTGTGAAATAAAGCTACTGGTATTTCTGTGTGCACGTGGGTGTGACTCAAGAGGGGCACAACAGAGGGGTGGTGGCAGGGACATTATCTCTGAGTCCCAGGCTGGCCAACATCACCCTGCTTGGCCTCCTGTATCAGACGAAGGAGAGAAGATTAACATCCCAGCAGTTATACGTTTTCACTTTTTGACCTATATTAGTTATTGCAATATTTAATATCCAATAAGAAGTCCTTTAGATCCATGAAAACACACGCACACATTAGAACAGCTCGCCCTTACCCTTAAACAGGCTGAGCAGGTGAATTCAGGCAGTGGATTTCAGATGGAAAAGAGATAACGTGATAAAGGGGGACTATGAACAACAAGGAGTTCCTAATATTTTTGAATAAATAGCTAAGAATTAATATCAGCTTAAAAGCTGGGTGATTTAAAAAAAAGTTTAAAGGTAAGTTTAAAGCTGTGAGCAGAACATAGAGCAAATTTTAGGTTAATGGTAAGGCTACATGAATTATCATGGATTCATGCATGAATTAATTCATGAAAAAGCATTAATTCATTCATGTAATACTTCACGAACAATCAGGAATGTAACAGAACAGAATGAACAGTATCTCATGCATGACTTAATGCTAGAACAATACATTAATGCTACAACTAAGATATTTTAATCATAATGATTTCTGAGTTATTGCAGACGTTCATGTCTTCTTCATGAGTAAGTGCATGTGTACTCTGTTGAATTCCAGACTTGTAATCATGATTAACTGGGCATGACTTCTTCATTACTTTATCATGTATTCGTCAAGAATTTGAAGAAATTACAAATGCATGTTAGATCATAATTGGGTATTTTGGATTTTAACTATCAATTATTTAGTTAGAAAAGAAAAACTATATCATCTATGCATAAGCAACACATTGTTAGTACATGTGTCTGTAGCCTATAGGCAGTACATTAGCTGTTGTTTGTGATGAATAAATAGAAACTGCACAAACGCCCAGCTGTCAAATTTTTAAATAACGCAAGGCGAAAATGTAAATTTGAACACATCTTTAGACCTTTTTCGTGGCAGTTTTGCATAACTTTTCATAGCAGGAAAAGTACAGGTGAAACAAGTTTAGAATGGCTCACTTCTATTAAGTGTCACAGTAAGCCAATACCAGGACCCTGGAACAGGCTCACCTAAAGGGAGTGCAGTTGTTTTAATGTGCTATTCCTGCTATGACAAGCCAAATGTGTGCTGTGAGAAAGGCCTGTTGGTTTATATTCTAATGCATCATCGCACCATGACACAAGTAGGCCTTCTGTAAGAGTGTGCTGGAATTATATCTACAAATCATTTATTGGTAAATTACTCAACAACACAGCAATTGCAACTGGCATAAACTTTGGTGTGTGCAATTGCAGAATACTGCGGTACCCCTTCAATTTGTGTGACCCCTACCACAGTCTGTGGTTTCATAGTGAAGCAGGGAGGGGACAGAACGGCCTGGCACAGCAGAGCGGGCAGAGGCAGCCGTAGTAGTGTTGTGAAAGCAGCTCTTCCTGTTGTGTGGTCCCGAAACCGGGTGTGTAAGGGGTTCCCAGAGCATCCTGGTGGCTATATCCTTTTTTAGTTTTTCCCCTCTCCCTTTCTTCCATATAGCGGTTGCCACCCCACATGTCCAAACACCCATCAAACGCACACACATACACACATGCACCGCCAACACCCCTCCTCCAGGAAACTCGTTGGCCGTCAATGAGACAGCACTAACTGTAGGCGTTTCCTGGCCACTTGATAGAGCCCAGCACGCAGGCAGAGAGACACCAGCACCACTGCACAGCTGCAACTCACCCCAGGCTACCCCCAAACTTCTCACTTATACAACCCCACCACCGTGCTGAGCCCCATCTCTAACCGCATCCCACATCCACCCTGACCTCCCTCACACACAACCGCACACCTACAATTGTTGTTGTTACATAAATCTTCTGCTGGTTGCACATCCACTTAATTGCTTGCATGCACACACACATACAATATGCACAAACCAATCAAAAACATACAGTGGTGGAATGTGACTACATGTACTGTAAGTACATTTACTCAAGTACAGTCCTTAAGTACAATATTTTGAGGTACTTGAACTGACTATTTCCATTTTATTCTATTTTGAACTCTACCAAATTTTGGAAGCCAATATTATGGTTTTTACTCCTCCATTTATTTCACAACATTAGTTACTTGCAGGATATTAATACAAATAATAAATCAGCTCATAAGTTATGATGCATTATTATAGTTTCAGCTATCTGGCAGTATAGAAATAGTTGAGATTAGCCTTTACCAGCTGCTACATTAGTGATGCTTACACACTAATGCATCACTAATTAGAATCCACTGAGAACTTAAATACTTTACTGCCAATTATTTTGCAGGATGCTAGACTTTTAACTTAGTAACATATTTTTACACAATGGTATTAAAAATAGAAGAGTGAAGAGTACTTCTTCCACCACTGAAAACATTTGCAATATATGTACAACACACTGCTCGGGAAAACTCCAACACTTCAACAACAATTCTTTTTAGACTTGTGTCTGTTAAATTATTTTTTCCTTTTTCTATGGCTGGGATTATCACAGTAGTGTCAGCGTTACATTTATCACATCACTAACTATTTTAATCATTTGTGGTTGTTGTGTTGATCTATGAACATAATTTATGGCATGATTTATCAACATTTTAAATCAAGCATTTACATCTCAGTGGGTTCTTCAACCCAAACCCAATACCACTGCATTTATACAGTTAACATCTAATAGTTGTTATGATCAACTGAGATTAATCTGATTCACAAATGTTCCCTAAACATTTGACAAGCACGGCAAAACTTTTGGATGTGTTGAGAAATCGTGCTGACAAAGGGCAGTCTTTGGAACGCAATAAGAGGATGTCAAATAAGGAACAGCAAACTAAAACACACTTTATTTCTGTCTGGTACAAGTGTGTCACAATGTCAGGGTGAGACCATCGAGCCTGCTTCTCTGACAGCGAGAACGGCAGGAACATGAAAGCTGCAACTTCAATTCATTAATGCATGTCATGCGCTTCTCTGCTGGCACAGAGTGTGTGACACCATAATTGTACTAGGGCAATGCTGCTTATTTACATGTAAATTTCTGAGGTCGCATTTGGACCCGAACAAAAGAAATCAGGTTTTTAACCCTCTTGTGAGAGATATAACATTTTTATGCGTCTACAGAGGAGGAATTCAAGATCCTGAAATTTCTTGACTGAGAAAGGATAATTAGATTTTTGTTATTAACACAAAGAAATCAACATTTCGTTTCCACATAATTCCAGCATGAGGCGATTTAATTAGATTTCCAGGATCCCGTTTTGCATAATTCATCCATGTTATGGATCCATATTGTTTGATATTGAGGTGTAATGTTCAATAAAGGAACATTGTGACCTTGTTTGGATATAAAACATGTATGAGTCTATTTGAATGCTCTGATGTTTCATGCCTCTCAACTTGCCCCAGAGCACAGTTCAGCATATTCCTAAAACAAGGATCTTCATACTCAGTGTTAGCACATCACTGAAAAACACACAGACTACAAAATATCCAGAAAAATCCATCCCTTACTTATTCACACTACTTTTGGTATCTGGCGATGATTGTGTGTCCTTCCCTGTGTGACATTTAAACTCCTCTTTGTTTGCTGTTTGCTGTCTTTTGTTGTCACCGCTCATCATTTGTGGCCGCCACCAGCCTTATTTGACCCTTGACCTTTCCCAGAATGCCCTGGGTCACCAAAGAGGTCTTAGCCCCAAAGCTTTCCTCACTGTCCGTGTCACCGTAGCAACTGGACGATGCTGGGGAGGCCAGAGCAACGACTGAGTCAGTGGAGTCTCTGTCTCTGTGGACTGTCGCCAAGGCGGGACGGGCTGAGGATGGTGGGGCGGCGTGCGACGGGGGAGGAGTGTCGCACTGCTGAAAAAGAGGGTTCAGTTTGTCCAAACTAACTGTGATGCTTTGGTCCTCAGCCTCATCCTCAGCGGAGTCCCTGCTCTCATCCTGTGCCTGGTCGTTGAGCAGAGTGACCAAGAAGTTGATGTACTTCACAGCCAGACGCAGGATTTCATTCTTGCTGAGCTTCTTGTCAGGTGGGTGTGTGGGAATGAGTTTTCGCAGCTCAGAGAAAGCCCCATTCACATTCTGCTGTCGCCATCGCTCACGGCTGTTGGTGAAGACACGGCGAGCAATTTTCTGAGGAGGGCCTGTTGGACACACAGAAACACTGTCTAAGTGTACAGGGACTCAAAGGATATAAGAAGTTGATATATTCTTATTGCCAACAAATCTCAATAAAAAGACCAAAAAGACCAATGCAATGATCCTACTAACAAGTATTGTGTAGCTTGATATAGCTTATTCCTTTAATAACAAATATTAAACTTGGACACTGTTCATTTATTACAATAAATATGCACTTTAATTTATTTTGAATTAGTTCCACATACACCATCCTGCTGCTGTGAATACTCAGTACAGCACCAAATGTGTATTAAAAACCACTGCTGAAAATAGTCTCCCAAAAAATACTTTACTCCTGCGTTTGATACAGTGCCCAGCTGTTTTAGGTAATTATTTACCCTTATAAATAAATCTAAAATATATTTATGAACCATGTTTTGAAAAAGTAAGGTGGCTGAGGCTCATGTGGTTGAGTAATTGGTAATTAGAAGTTGCTGGTTCGATTCCCAGCTCCCCCGGTCCAGTAGAAGTGTCCTTGGTCATGATACTGAGCCCCAAATGGTGCCCGATGGCTGTGCTGTGAGTGTGTGTGTATGTGTGA